TAAAAAAGTTTATTCAAATATTTTTTAGTATAATATATGTATTTTTTTCATTATAATCAGCAATAAAATTTTTAATTTTTTAGTAAAGTTGTAGTTAAAAATAATTATATCGAAATTGTTCATCAGACATTTTATTATAAACTGCTTTTGTAATATAATTTGCATATTTCTTACTATACTTAATGATAAAAAAAAAATTCACTCTTTTGTTGAAGCACTCTTGATAACGTAACATTTAATTAATTTTGTATGAAAATATATACAAATAATGTTATTAGTTATTTTGTCAACATCATTGAACTTTTGAACCATTTTGTTGGCCTTTTAATTATATTAACAGTGTAATTATTAATATCATCAATTTTATTTACAGTGAAGTGGGTATAAATTACTATTTTTTTAGTTTTTTAACTTAAATTTGTTGTTAAAAATTTTAATATGTGTTGTAATCAATTAGTATCGATAAATTTTAAGAAGGCATCAGTTTAGTATTCTTATCTGTGTTACGATATTTTCTTCCTTTTGATTATTAGTGATTTTCGTAACCAACATTTAAAAGTCATATATTTAATTTACATGTCAAAGAATTTACTTCACTTGAAGTAATTTACAATCTTTTATAGATACTTATAGCCATTACTATCGCTTTTGTCAAAAACCATTAATTCTTGAATGACCTGCTAAAGGTTTTAGAAGTCAATCTCTTTATTAATCAAATAAGTTTGGTTTATATTTATTTTAACTTAAATTTTAAAAAAATAATCATTTCTTTTTTTATAAGTTATTTTAAAAAGTTGACAAAGAAGAAAAAACATTTTATTAGTTTGAAGGAAAAAACTGGTGAGAAAAAAAGGTCACAGAGGTATGGAATGGAAGAAACATAACATGGAAGGATATAATAAGGAACAAATATTTTTTGGTTAGAGTTCGAAGAAAAATAAAAATCACTTGTGAAAGAATAGTAGGAGTAAAATGAGAAAGAGAAGAGAGAAAAAAATTAAGATAACTAAATAATTTGTCAAAAAATCCTATATTTTTTTAAATATTCATAAAGAGAGAAAAATGAAGAGTAATTTTTTCATAAAATTTATAAAAAATAACCTATTTAAAATATTTTGTAAATTAAGAAAAAATAAAAAATAAAAAATATTTTGTAAGTTAAAAAACTAATCTACTAATTTTATTTTTTTAATATATCTATATAAATATTCATATTATTTAAATAATTTAAGAGTTGAAAAAAGATCCATTAGAAAGATAAATTAATAATTTTAATAATTAATTTTAATAAAATAATTATATTCCTTGGTCCGTATAATTTCTTTTTCCCTTTTAAAAAAAGATAAATAGTAACAATGCATGTGAAATAATCAATAGATGTTTGGAGATCAAAATATTAACATATCAGAAAATTTTAAAAAATTAAAATTATATTAATATGCATTTACATTTTATAACTTTAAAATATTTTTATAAATAATAATAATTAAAAATATCATTAAAAGATATTTAATGTAAAGATTCATTCATTTAACAAACACTTTGTAATATTTTTTTAATATAAAAATCAATTCATTTAATAAATATATTATAGTTAATGAATATCATATTTGATCAAATTTTTAATTTTTAGTATAATAATTTTTCATTTAATTATTTAGATATTATATTTAATATATACACCTTTAAATACTAACATGAAGAAATAAGTTTTTTAATTATTTTAGCATATAATTTTAACTATTAAATGTGTAGTGATTATTATTATTTATTTAATATTATTTGTCTAATAGAAAGTCACCTAATTAAATTTAGATGAGTTGGGTTTCAAAATTCAACAAAGTTCTCACATCAACAATAAAATTTGAGCCTGTTTGCTTATAAAATATGAATCCAATTCATATAATCAATGGCATATATTGGCTTAGATAATTCATCTGATAAATATGATATAACCAACTAATATAATATCTATTTAAATTGTTAACAATTAATACAACATCTTAGAAATAACTTTATGTTGTAATTAATAAATATTACACTAAATACATATACAGTGAACTTTATATATAGATTGTGAAACAATAAAATTCGATTCATGATGTATCTGAGCATATATCCACACCACAAGATGAAGCCAGATAATGTTATATGAAGGGTCCATGCTCCACGAAATTAGAAGTTTTACCCACATGTAAATTTAAAGTGGTCCTGCCTCCTAGCAAAACAATCTGTTAAGTGGTCCTCTACACTTTCAACATTTAGTTATATGAACCATTTGGGTCTACAGAGAAAAATTGTATGTATTCAAATTTTGCACATGAATTGATCATTCTATAAATCTTCCGTGATGGTAATGTTTTGTGTATTTGGTACATAAAATTCTCTTAATTTATATAAGTTCTGAACATTCATGTTTGTGATAGAGATTAAGAATATGATGCCAAGGAGCATCTTGTAATAATTTGGAAAAAAAGGTGGGGCTTATTTTTACCTAACAAAGGTCTTGCCCCCTTCCTCAAATACAAAAAAGTCTGTGTGGTGCTCTTGGTATCTTGAGAAATTACCATTAATCACAAATTTGCAAGGTAGATTATGGGATATATTTGCATGAATACTTATCTACAATGAAATAATGTTAGCAGGGTTTTGTTTGCATTCATCATAGTTATTATAGACATTTTTAAAACTCTAGTTGATTAATTGATTGCCCTCTTTCATATAGTTGCTATGTTGTGCTATAAGCAATGAATTTATGTACCATCCGTTATAAGTTTTCAAACAAATTAAAAATTAAGTATTCTTTGTACCATCAATTTTTGTTGTACAAAATTATTAATATTTTTAAAAATCAAACTAATAAATTGAAATGATAAATTTGCTCTAAATGATGAAGCCAATTAGTCAGAGGTTTGGAACTAAAATATGAGCTAATTTTTGTTCTTGGGGGTTTAATCACACACAATTGCTTTTAAGAGGAGTTGATGTTATAGCCCAACAAACTAGTCAGTGTAGAAAAAGGCTAAAAAAAAAGTGGGTACGTATTTGTTACTTTATTGTGATAAAATGGCAGAGGAATACAAATAAATCGCCCACTCTTATTTTTTCAGAAACTACCACTCACACATAGTTGCATTTAAGAGTGATGCCATGTTAAGAAAAAAATAGTAATTACTTCGTATTTTTTTTTTTTTACATTTAGTGAAATTAAAATTTTATCTTGCCTTTCTCTTTAATTCAATTTTATTTATTTATAGATTTTGTTAACTTAAACTCTTAAGACTAAAATTAAATAATTAATAATAGTAAAATTTTATTATAAAAAAATATTTATTATATTTTATAACTTCAATACAATAATAATAATTATATACTTTTTTCATAATTTTTATTTATTTATGAATGTTTAAACTTAGTCCTAAAATTAAGATTAACAGAATTATTTATTTATTTATTTATTAATTTCTCCTCACCTCTTTTGAATTTTTTTCTTTTTATTTTATCATGTGATTTAATATTTAACTTTTTATTTACATTCTTTTTCATTTAGATGAGATCTACATGCATTAGTTACTGTATTTTCTTGTATTTGCTCACCTGATTGCCCTTCCATAATCAAGACTCGAATGTTACTACAAGAAAATATTATTATTATTAATGAATAAAAATTAATTATGTTCAATAAAATAAGTTAAAAGTTATAAATTTTTAATTTAAAATTAACTTAAAATTTAAACTTATAGCTAAAAACTTATAATTGTATGAATAATTTATAAAATTTAAATTATTTAACAAATTAGTTATGTATTTAGCTTATTTGTGTTAAATGATTTAAAATGATATGTAATATTATGTTAACATATTCATTGATGAATAAAAGATATTAAGTGTTAGAATTGATTTTGTCTATATTAATAATATGATACATTATATTTATTCACTGATAATATAATATTTTTGCTGTATCAATAGAATTATTTGATAATTAGTATTATGTGTTATATTTTTAATATAGTTTCACAATATCTATATTAAAATTTTAATTTTTATTAATTACACCGACTGATGTTAATGCAACACCAAATTGTTAGTATACATCATTTGTTTTTTCATGTAGTCCCAATGTGAATCTTCATTGAAGTTGGTAGGCTTCCTAATATTATAAAAGTGAGTTTTTCCCTAACCCAAGACTTCTATTTTCTAGGGAAATATTTTCTTGTATTTTGTTATATACTGCAATGCTTTTTATAATTAATAAAGTATTTGCACGAGTTAAAAATACAGTAAATCTTGATTTTAAAACTAAACGAAACTAAAGCCAATAATTAAACTTGACCCGTTCAATGAGCTTTCCTTATTCAATTTTTAAAATTTGATTACAAAGTACATGTTAAAACTTTAGCTTAAATTAACGTTGTGCTAACTTATATTTTACTCCACTAAAGACAGAGAGAAAATGCTTACTTAATATAGTTTCAAGAAGACGTAGATTTATCCAATGCGTTGGCACGAGCAAGACAACTCTTACCGAATAAAAGCCCCTTTAATTTTTTTTAATCTATAAAACATTTCCTTGTTATAATAATCAAATTGACTTTAATTAGTATAATATCCAGTAATGGGACAAGAAGTGTTCCTAGGAAAGTGAGTACAAATACACATTAAAAAATACGAAAGTCCAAGGAACAATGTTCTAAAACCTCAAGTTGGCATGTCATGGGTGAAGGAGTGAATCAACAATCTAAACAAGCTACCAAAGACAAAGATTGTCAGCAAAAATAATTTCAATAATTTATGATTATTAATAGATTAAGCTAATATACGTACGTCATTACCGTTGACAACATGTTATGATTGCATGTTGCATAGGAAAAAATAAAAAAGAAGAAGGGTAGATTGAGAAATGAGAACCTTATCTGGAACATTATGAGTCGATGCTTCTCTTGGTGCTCTTTAAGGGACCAAAAACAATTTTCATCCACTCGTCACATACCCATATCGCTTTTAGAAAAGCCAAGAGAGTCTCTGGCCACACCAACCCCTATATTACACTATTCTTTCATACTACACTTCCCACTCTGTCTCAGGGTCTGTGGCACTCATACACAGGCACATTTTCACTTCAACAAACTTCAAAGTTCACGGCTTTATCCATTTTGCTGCTCTCTATTGGTGAGTTCTTTGCGTCATTTCATTCAAGATATTTTGTGAGTGGCCAAAAAAGGGACATAAAGTACTATTTTTTATTTTATTTTATTTTTCTTTGGCTGTGAATTCTGCTTATTCTTTACACACTATGAGGAGTTAATGGTTGTGAAGATAGTCCCTTTGCAAGTAAGGGTGCTTTTTTAGTGTAACTCATTCCAATCTCATCATCACTTTTTTGTTGAGTGCTGAACCGCAGAATATGATCTTCACTGCGTTAGGTAAATCCCAAATTTCGTTTTGGTCAAAATGTAAATTTCACATTATGATAAAGTTTGGTGGTGTGATAACTATGGAATGAATAGATGTTGATCTAAGTCTGAACTTGAAATCAAATTCAAATTCTTAGTCAATTATTCTCCTATAAGTTGATTAGATAAACATATTTTATCTGATTATCAAATCATCCTTGCACATTTTCTTCAACGATTTTTTCTCTGTTGGTTTTTTGCATCTAATCTAATGTTATGCAATGTGCATTTTATGTAGTGTGGTGATGACCCAGACTGGAATGTCAGGTTTAAGTAGGAATTTGTTTAAGTAGTCATCATTTGAGTATGTTTGATGTATGATAAACATTGCTTTCTAGATTACAGTGCACTTTTCTGCTTTGTCAAATTGATGATGTAGAGGGGAAGAGGGGGTGTTTTCATGATATTTTTTGTTGAGTAAGGATCATAAAATGGTAGAGTTTGACACTTTGTTCACACTTTAAAGTTATGCTTAAAAAGTTTTGACAACTGCTTTAGAATTATTTTATAGGTGGCTTCATTAGTCATCATTTGATCGGTTGCAGGATAGTTGATAATCATTAAATTAAATTATAATGCTGCTTAGTAATTTTTTTTCATAGTATTACACAAAAATTGTATTATGTGATCTAATTTGATTCATTTTCTGGGTGGGGATTCTCATGACTACTTTATGTAGTAAAAAGCAGTAGTGCAGAACATGGCACAGATTTTGGCACCCTCTATACAATGGCAGATGAGAATCACAAAACCGTCTCCCAGTGCAACTCCCATTACATCTAACATGTGGGGTTCTTTGTTGTGGAAACAAAATAAGAAAGCTACACTTACCGGTTCTGCTAAATTTAGAGTGCTGGCAATCAAGTCTGAAAATAGCACCATCAACAGGCTAGAGAATCTACTTAATTTGGATATCACTCCATACACAGACAAGATAATCGCCGAGTACATTTGGTATTTCATTCTTCTCTGCCTTTGTTTGTATCTAGCAGTTCTGCAAATCCAATTATGAATATGAGCATACAAGGTATTTAAAATTGTGAATCTTTATTTGAAACAGGATTGGAGGGACAGGAGTTGATGTGCGCAGTAAATCAAGAGTATGTTATTTTATAAGAAAATGCTAACCTCAGCTCATGATAAGTAATTAATAATAGTAAAATTTTATTAAAAAAAAGAGTATTTATTGTAGTTTTATAAATTTAATACAGTAAATATGTAATTTTTTCATAAAAATTTTCTATTAATGGAGGCTTAAACTTTGCCCTTAAGGCTGAGGTTAACAAAACCCTATTTTATAATAAACATGCCAAGAGAAATTATTCCTACCATGTTGTCATTTTATTTATCTCATGCTATTCATGATAATCCTATACATATATTTTCATTTCTCAGACAATACCAAGGCCAGTTGAACATCCCTCTGAGCTACCTAGATGGAATTATGATGGATCTAGCACAGGACAGGCACCGGGTGATGATAGTGAAGTAATCCTATAGTAAGAATTTTGGCCCTGATACTTCTATCAGTACTTCTATTAATGTTACTCTACACCTTTTCAGTTTTATTTTTTGTTCTGTTTTTTTCCCTCAGTCCTCAAGCAATTTTCAAAGATCCTTTCCGTGGTGGTAACAATATTTTGGTAAGAGCTGTTATACTTGAAAGAGGTCTCATGTCATGTTGATTGAAATTGAAAAACAGATTTAATGAAGCTTTTTTTTTTTTTTGTTCAAAAGGTTATATGTGATGCTTACACACCAGCGGGTGAGCCTATCCCTACAAACAAGCGACACAGAGCTGCTGAAATTTTCAGTAACCCGAAGGTCCAAGCTGAAGTTCCATGGTATGTATAGTTCTCCTTATCTTGATGAATAAACAAAATTTTGTGATGATAAATTGCATGATTCTTGAATTTATTTGTTTTGGGTTTGCAGTTACCAACTATTGTTGGATTCTTGAAAATTGTAACGTAGTATCTTACTCTGATACGCCAACCACTTCTATATATGATGATTGCAAAAAAAAAAAGTGATATATGATGAGTAATAATTCCAATTGATACTCTGACATATGTCGTATTACTTATCAAGTGATGCTTAACCAAATTATGACATGGAAAATTTCCTTCTTCATTTGATAACTTACTCAAATAGAAGATAACCGAACTTTTGTGTTGAGTTATAACCTTAACAGAAAACATGCTAATGTTGATTTATGTTAATTGCTCAAAGGTTTGGAATAGAGCAAGAGTACACCTTACTTCAAACAAATGTAAAATGGCCTTTAGGTTGGCCCGTTGGTGGCTATCCTGGTCCTCAGGTAATGTCACTTCTTGTAGTGTTTTTCTTTTTTTTTTCTTTTATTCACATTTCATGGCAATTTGTCAATTCCATAATGCCGATTTAATTAGATATTCCTTCATATTTCAGGGTCCTTATTACTGCAGTGCTGGGGCAGATAAGTCATTTGGACGTGATATATCTGATGCTCATTACAAGGCTTGCCTATATGCTGGAATTAACATCAGTGGCACCAATGGGGAGGTTATGCCTGGGCAGGTATATCTATTGACGTTCCCTTTGTTTTAAGGCCTATGAATATGAACTCAGTTTTTATCATCGTTTTCTCTCTATACGTGCAGTGGGAGTATCAAGTTGGTCCTAGTGTAGGTATTGAAGCTGGTGATCATATCTGGGCTTCAAGATACATTCTAGAGGTAATTCACTTTGTTACTTATATATATATATATATATATATATATATATATATATATATGCATATATACACATACATGTTGATATAGAAAGATTATATTTTTGAAAGAATCAGTTATTAAAAAATGTCGTGATATCTTAATTCTGTGGAGGTTTTTGGCTCAATATTAAAGAAAAAAATAAAATAAAGAAGTATAAGTTGTTTCCAAGTTATAGGAGAAATTTTATTATTTTTTATACTGATATTTTTTCCTATAAGGACTTCTTAAAAAGTTTATCTAAATAGGACATTGTCTTATTTCAGGCTTTGGCTTTTGTATGGTTTTTGTTCTTATGCATGTGTATTTTAAGAAATGGCTGTTTGCACTAAGCTTGATATATTGTTTTTTATTGTGCAAACTTTCCTGAGAATTGCTTGTAGTTTTGCATCATTTCTAATGGATTATTATTAGCTGTCTTTCTTTTTAACTCTTCCTCTTCTTTCAAAGGCAGGTTTTTTTAGCACATCTTTTTATACCATTCTTAATTAATTCTTTAAGTTTTAAGATCTTGAAAGGTAATTCGGCGTCTCTTGAGAATAAGTTTGAGGGCTGGTGGAAGGTTCATGCTATTGCTTGTTATTGAAAATTGTTGATGGTCTCATGTAAATAGAACTTTGTGCTTGTTTTCATCTCTTATCCAATTTTGTATTTTATAATTAAATGGATTGCATTTTGGTCTGTCCTGGCAGAGAATCACTGAACAAGCTGGTGTTGTGCTCACACTTGATCCAAAACCAATAGAGGTACTGTAATGCTTTAACTAACAGTATTTCTTATCCTATGTTAATTATACTAATTGTTCTGGTTAAGCACAGGGTGACTGGAATGGTGCAGGATGCCACACCAATTACAGGTTTTTGGCCATGCCTTTGCCATGAATCATGAATTTACGACTGCACATGTTCTATTGACTTTCTAAATCATTAAATTGGTAAATATGAATTTTCTTTTTAGTACAAAGAGCATGAGGGAAGAAGGAGGCTTTGAGGTAATAAAGAAGGCAATTTTGAATCTATCGCTTCGCCACCAGCACCACATTAGTGCATATGGAGAAGGAAATGAGAGAAGGTTGACAGGAAAGCATGAGACAGCCGACATTAACACATTTTCTTGGGTATGGTTTCAAAATTGCCAAAATCTATTCAATTTAAAGACAGGGTAATCAAGCATGAAGTTTGTCTTCTTGTATGAAACATCCTAATAAAATTGAACTTATAGGGAGTGGCTAACCGTGGTTGCTCAATCCGTGTGGGAAGAGACACAGAGAAGAATGGAAAAGGTATATCACCAACAATAATTTTATGGGTCTGTTTAGTGAATTGAACGTACAAGCATTTAGATTTCTGATGGGGGACTAATAAGCAAGCATTATCTGACTCATTTAGCATGTTTTCTGGACTGAAGTTGCTAGTTCAAATTTTTTGTAGCTTAAACTTATTGGATTATTGCTAATTGCCAATGCAACAACTTCAGCTTATCATTAGGCTTATAGATTGGATACTCTTACCATGACACTTGGTCCCATTTTTCTTTCCTATTTCAGTGTTCTCCTTCATATGTTGCAAAATCACATGCCCTTCTTTCCCTAATTGATGTTTTTTTAGCAAATTGCCTATGTATTCCATTATCACCACTCTCATTCTAATTTTTTCATCATTTCTTTTTCTTCTTCCAAACACTTTTTTCATATTACCACATATATTACTTGTTGATCTTGCTGGTCCTCTTGATCACAGGTTACTTGGAAGACAGGCGCCCGGCATCAAACATGGATCCATACGTTGTGTCATCGTTACTGGCCGAGACTACATTATTGTGGGAACCAACTCTAGAGGCTGAAGCTCTTGCAGCACAGAAGATAGCATTAAATGTCTAAGTCTATTGATTGATGGCATTCTGGATGGAATCAGTAATTTGTGAGAAGCTAGAAAGCTCTCTCACTTTCATCTTAGATTACTTATATTCTAAAGATCTTGTTTGGACTAAAGAGGTTGTCATGCCTAGTTATTGGTTGTCATATGAAATGCACATTGTGTATCAGAAGTTTCGTTGGTTTTATTTGCTTCTGGACGAATTTTTTCATTGATGCTTGGCTATATTCAGTGTTCCCCCGGATTTTATTTTCCTACAAGTAACTGAACTTACGTTCTAAGATTCTAAGACTGAAGGCATTCAAATTTTTTTTTTCTCAACCACTTATTTGTGCTGGAACTAAGTTCAATTTGATAAATTGAGACCTCCAAACGATATAAAAAACATGGAAAGTTACATGTAACCGTGTCTGAAAGGATTCCTAGTCCCTTTCATGAGACAAACCGGATAATGGTGGAAAAGAATACAAGGCATTTATTTGTGTGTGCTTGTGCATAATGGTGACAAAAAATAACCTATCTCTAAACTGAACTACCTTTTCTGGTAATTTTTTATAAAATATAAAGGAGAGAAATACTGACTTATATGGTCATCTGGTAGGCTCAGAAAGAAAAAAGGAATTCACATATGATTAATATATTAAATTGCATACTTATAGGCTAAAGGGGACAGTGAAGATGGTATCCAAAAGGTGAAGAAAACAACTAACAGAGGGGGCATTCCGAGAATCGAACTCGGGACCTCTCGCACCCAAAGCGAGAATCATACCACTAGACCAAATGCCCTGTTTATGATTCGACTGTTTTCGTCTATCTCATGTCAATTTGTTAGAAATTTGTGCACTCCCATTTTTCGCACAGTAAGTAATATTAGGACTTGTTTGTTTGTGGCATTTGTATTCAACAATATTGTCACTATTAAAGAGAAAGAAAAGGCGAAAATGTTAACATTTTTTTCTTTCTAAAATTTAAATATCAAAATATTGATTTTAATTTTTATTTTGTTTTTGTTATTAAACGGGACAAAATGTTCAAAAAAATAAAACAATTAGGCAACTACTACAAGGTTCCTAAAGAGTCCATCCTCAACAAAAACTCGAGACAAAGGAGCTTTTTTATATTTAATACATAGCAATTGTAATATTTTATAATTTGTTGAAATATAAAAATAATGTAAATTAATTATTAGTTAGTTTCTATTAAATAAAAAGATTAAAAGATAATCAGTTTAAGTAATATTTTTTAAAGTAACATCACAAATTTAAATTTTGCAAATGTAAAAAGCCTCATTACAAAAATGACACTTGTGATTTTAATAAAAGAAAAATTAACGATTAAAATGTCCAGTTTTAGCTTCAAGCATGCTGAAAATGTCCGTAATTTTCACTTCCGTTTTATGGTTGTCATATGTATAATCCATGGCTGAAAATGACGATAATTACATTAGTCATGTGAGTATCCAAGACTCATTGGCATTGAGCCAACTTGTTATCCTTCACTAATTAAACATCTTCCTCTGATTCTGAAGCCTTAAGAAATCATATGATTACTTTCGCACACAACTCCACAGAGATTGGAGGGTAGCCACTCCATCTTCCTATTGCCTCACTCACCCATGACCTGTAACCATGCCACCGTCCTTCTGCTCGCTTTGCCATCGTCATGTTCCATTGTTTTCCCAAAACGCCCTTTCACATTTCATAGTCCCAAGAAAACCCTTTTGGCGGTGAAGCTGAAAAAGACGAACTCTGGAATAAAAGCTTCAAAGGGTGAATCAGTAAATTGGTCGCAATGGCTGCCCGCAGGGTCTCTTGCCGCTGATAAAGTTTTCAGATTGATTTCGGGTGCCACCGCAAGTCCCATTGGCCAGTTTGTGTCATCCCCCACCACCTTTCTTCACTCTATCGACCCTCGAGTTAAATTGGTCAGGGAAGCATAATTAATCACTTCATGGGTTTTTAGTGTCTGCCAAAATTTATATAAAAATCTTTGCTTTTGTTCATGCTCTGTGGAGAGTATAGATTATTGGATTGTGTGATTATTTTGGTTTTTGGATTAGCTATATTTGTTGTATGACTTTAAGAGTGTGAACAAAAATCATTTCATTTCCTGTGATATGATGTCCACTAATACTAAGTAATCACAAACAAAAAATTATGAACTTGTGATGGCTCTTCCTGGTGATAGTTGAGCAATGTGTGAGGAATAACTCATGGTGTTATTCCAAATGTTACAAAGTGTTTATTTAAGGCTGTTCATGAAACCTAAGCTTTGGGCTGATTGTATATTGTGATGAGTGATGACATATCATGTTTTTGTAATGGTAGTTGATAAAGTGTGATAGTAAGTAGCTGATAGTTGAAACATAAGAATCGGTTATCGAGTGAGCCAGTGAACTTGTTTTTGATACATGTTCTATTGCTTTCATTCAAGGTAGTCAATATCAGAATTCTTGTCAAATATTAATGGTGATGGATATTTCAGCAATTGTTAGTAGATTCATTTGTGTAGCTGGAATTTTTTAATTATTTTTTTTTTTTGGCTGTTTGGTTGTTGTGTGTTTGTGATTTTTGGTGATCAATCAGTCTGGTTTTACAGGTATGGCTTTTAGCTCTGGTTGTTTTACCAGCAAGGTCACATATAATTATGCGATTTGGACTAGTGATATACTTGACCATGCTTTCCATTTGGGTTTTACCAAAAAATACTTGGAAGGTAAGTAATTTTTACTCCTTGGCTTATCTAGCACGAGGAGTGGATTGATCAATTTGCTTAGTTACAGTAAGTTGATCATAACTTTAAGGGGATAGTTGAGATTTAGTAGTACAGGGGTATTTAATCTATCGTTTAAGGTTTGCATTGTGTTTCATCTGATGTTCACTGTATATATTTTTTAAAATGATCATGTTAATTTCCTATGGACAAAACTTAGATACAACTCCATAGATATTGTTGGAATTATTCTCCAATCAAAATTAACATTTCATCTGGTTAACTGCTGTCATTTTAGTTACCAAGATGAAATGCTAATTTTAATTGAAAAACAGTTTCAACAGTACCAACTGTATCTAAGTTTTATCCTTTTCTGATCCCCTGTTTTCATAAATCAGAACACTGTATTTCTCATTCTTAATGCTTATTAATTTGAACTAGCTTGTACCTTATCATAAAATACGTACACCTTTCCTTTATTCACTGTTGTTTTTATCTTGAAGCTGTGTTAATTTGGGAAGTTTCTTGCTACTTTTTATTTGTAGGATCAATTGGGAAGAGTTTATTTCTTATCAGGATTGTTATTCATTACATTAGGGCTGGGATCAGATGGTGTGCCTGCCCCTGTTCAGATGAGAACTCCACCACCTGCAATGATGGGGCTTCCTAGTCTTCCTGTATCTTTAGCAGGTTATTCATATGTAATCGCAAAGTTAGGACCACTAAGCTTTACCAGGAAAGGCTTATCTGTAGCAAGCACCGTTGCATGTTTGACTTTTACTGTAAGTTGTTTCTGCATTTTTGTGGCTTTTTGCCCCCATTTACGGTGTTTTTGGACATTTGGTGGAAACCATGCTGTAAAAGCCTTCTAAAACAACAATTCTTTTTTTTTTCTTGACTTCTGAGAATTCGGTCCACATTTCCTTGGAAGGTATTTCAAAGTGCAAGTCTTTGCCTCACAACTACAACCCCAGAACAACTGGCGTTTGCACTACGATGGTTTATGCTCCCTCTGAGATACTTAGGTGTTTCTGTGTCAGAAATTGTGCTTACACTTTTACTGTCATTGAGGTTTATCACTCTTGTTTTTGATGAGGTAAGAAGAGTAAGGGTTTTAAATACATACATAAACTTAGTTTTGATCTCAGTTATACTAATAGCTTGATTTAATTGTTTCGAAGATGTACCTTTTACTAAAACTCCCACACATCAAAAATGTAAAATTACATGGGACAAATTGTACTATGCATTGTTGGAGATTAGATCAAATTTATGGATATTATGGGGTTGAAAACAGTGCTGTAAATAATATCTTCCTGGTTTCCGTAGTCTTGAGGTACATTTACACAATAAATGGAAGTAAAATTGGAAATTCCATCGGCAACTTTAAAAACTGTTATAACCCAATTAACCTAACTTTTAAGTTTAAGCTTTTCATTTTCCTTTACTATTCTCACTAAATATCCGTAGTTTTGTTGCAGGTTCGTAACATAGCTTTGGGGATTGTATCTCGTAGGGTAAATTGGAAACAGCTGACTGTTATGGAGACAATTGATAGTAAGTAAATATTGCTAAGTATTCCTCATTTTCGGTCATTGACAAATTATTGTTTTGTTTTAGACTCTAGTCAGCTTTCCAACCAACTAGTTGATGAGTATCATCTCTATAATGACTGTGCATAATCTCATTCAGATTCTCTTGGCTTTACATTTGATTTGTACAAATTGCTATTATGCATTAGAAATTAACACAAGGAAATGCTTATCCTAACCTGTTTGTTTAGTGTATTTCCAATTCTGTGACAACGTTTATGAAACTGTGAATCAACAGCAAACAGTATACCCACTGATGATGCCACATTTACTTCATTCAAACAGCACTTACATATTCACATTATATGATTGTCTAAAAAATAAATAATTTGTATAATTCTATACTGATCTAGTTATTCACTACATTAATGATAATATTTTGTTATATTAATATGGTCAGTGTATCCAGAACTGAATATTTGGACGGGTACATGACTTGCTGTTGTTACCTTCTATGTGAAGTCAGTATTTATAATAATCTATGCGAGTCTGATCCTGAACAAAATAACTGAAAAATTGGAAGTTTATCTGTTTCTTTTGAATGGTGGTAATTTTTTTCTAAGCTCTCTTTAGAAATCTAGTGATCTTTTGTTGCTATCTTGCTGGACTTTCTATTCTCCACCTGTACTACGAACAGATATATGTAGCTTTGACTAAATGACACAGAGTTCCAAAATACCAAGGTTTAACATGCAATTTTATCAGGATAATACTTGCTGGTAGTTAGTATGGGAAACTTAGTTCTGCAGTTGACAATCTGATTTTTGATTAGGTTAATATTTAACGGATTAACCTGAAGCTTTTACTAGAAGATATTTCTTCAGGGTCATGATTATTTTCTTTTGTCCTTATATAACTTTGCAGTTTTCTTTAACTACTTCCGGCGTATCTTCAAAAATATTTTCAGCCATGCCGAGCAAATTTCTCAGGTTTGTTTAAATTTACTATGCCCCCTTCTGCTTTTTCAATGTTGTTTGACACTTTGACGTGCTTCAGCTATCTTCAACTCATTCTAGAACTGTTGAATAACTGGATAACTTGTTTTGAATTCATTAACTATTTTGAAGGTTTTACAGGCTCTCGCTTAGAAAACATGTTACTTTCAGTTCTGGTATATACAAAAAGTAAAACAGAAATTTGTCCTTGTGTTTGCTTCATAGTTTGAACTTTATTTTTATTTCATTAACAATGTTGAGTTAAAAAAAATTATTAAATTAATCATACAAATTGCAAAATCAATTTCCCTGGACATATGCCTCTCATTACAAACTGACCTGTCAACCCTAATCTGCTGTTGACATTGTATTCTTCATAAAAATTCAAAGGGTGTCTTCTGACTAACATAAAAATAAAATTATGCAGGCTATGATAGTCAGAGGTTTTAAAGGGGATGGCGGTGCTCATAAAATTTACTTCTTGTCAGAATCATCTTTTGGGATGGCAGATATTGCATGCTTGATGTGCTTGTCAGTTGTCATAGGAGCCGCTATCCTGTCGGAGTACTACCTTGTCTAATAAGACATGCCACTCATGCATCTGTAAGAGCATTCTGCATTTATGTATGTGTGTTTGTAAGTATTTTTATTATTCATTCAATTTCTCGTAATATTAGCAAGTGAAAAATCATTAGGATCGGTTGAAGATATGAAGGGGAGGATATGATGCAGCAGAAAAGATCTAACGATGAACTGAGGAAAATTTGGATGGTTTCTGATGTTATCTTTTATCAGATATTGTGTGGATTGGACTTCTGATGACATTCTTTCTTACCTGTTTCAAAGATTTTTATAGGTCATTTGTTTATTTCTTGTGTTTGGTATAATTATAGTTTCTTGAATGCACTTACTCATACTGTCTATGTTACAGTTTGAATCAGTTTACGTTTTTAAATAGCAGGACTGATTTAGTTGAACCGTCACATTTTGTCTAGACTCTCTTATGGAGATATAAACCAAGTTCTTTACAAATATGCCTTTATACGGAATATTCCTAAGCTTAATAATTGTTATTATAGTTAAAATGCTTTAATAATAATGTGAAAACATGATTTAATGATTGTGCAAGAAATATATTTGTTTTTGACCCTCTTTGCTTATGTATGGATTTGGAAAAAGAAAAAAAGATTACTTATTTTAGAGTATGTTTATAACGCTTATAATGAATATGTCTAAATAATGACAAAAAAAAAATAAAAAATCATATAATTCATGTGTACAACGAGCATTAGTTACCTCAATTGACTCGTAATATCCTAAAAGCAATTTAAAAAATATCTTATGCTTTATCACGTATTTGGTCATAACCAAATCTTGAAGAAGAAAACAAGTTATTCTAAATTTGATTTTAAGTGATTCTATATTTAGTAATTCTGTTCTAATCTTAACTAAGGATATACTTAGGAGTTGAGTTTGGGAAAGGGAGGGGTTAAGTGTAATTAATCATTATTTATAAGTTATTTAATTAGGAGGGAAGATTTTGGAGAGCTTTTTTAATGCTATTTTTTTGAGTTCTCCAAATTTAAGAGTTTTCTCTCTCTCACTCTCTTATACTCTTTCATAAGTTAGATTTTAACTTTTTTTTTCTTTTTTTTCAAATATTAGTTTTTCATGTGAGAATTTAAAAAAAAATTGTAAAAATAAAAATACTAATTTTAAAATTATTAATTTTTTAGAAAGAAACATATTTTTTATTTTATAAAATTAAAAAAATATAAATATAAATTATAAATTATAATAATATTATTTATATAATTAAACCCTTTATTACCTACCTCTCTCAATAATAAACATTCAACTAAGAAAAGGGTTTAACCTTATTCCCCCTCCCTTCCTCTCTCATTATCTCCTTCCTCTTCAAACCCTTCTCTCTCTCTCTCTCTCTCTCTCTAAACTTCCAAATAAAACTTAAGTGAATATAAAGGTGATTATTATACATGTTACAAATTATACAATGGGGTTAAAGTGACTAAGTGTAATTTGTTATTTTTGCCAATAAAAGATATATTTTTACCCTTTTGATAAAATGAGACTATTAAGTGCATAGCAATGTCAAAATAATATTAAGAAAAATTTATTATGTAATACAATTTTAATTATTGAAAATTATAAAAATTATATTAATTATTATTTTTATTTAATATTTCTTTGTTATGCTTTTATAATTTTCAATAAATTAGTCTAATATCTAAAAATGTGTGTTAAAAATAAACAAAATTTAGTATAGTATCAAAAGCATTGTTGACGTTGTTCTTCAATTAAAACTGAAGTTTTATTTTGCTAATCTTTTGGTTTATTAAAAATAATTCATTCTTAACACTCCTCTAAGGTTAATAGAAAATGTTGATATTATTTATAAAAAAATATATTAAAAAAACTAAGACTTAAGCTAAACATGTTCCCTGTGATGTATTAATCTAAATGTATTGATAAATTAACAAAATTACTTGATAATATTTTATTGCAAAAATGTTCTATGACTTGACATTCTTATCTTTTGAGTAAAAGTATAGGTCAGTAGACTTTATACATTGTTCATTATATTAAAATATAAAGATTTTCTTATACCAGTATAAGTTTAAAAACTTTTATATTAAATTTAAATTTTTTATTTAACTTAAATTTAACGGTCAGTGAAGTAAAATATGCAAAAAATAGATTGACTTAAATAACTGTTTTAAAAGATAGTTTTAGTTGAACTTTTATTTAGTTATAAACTATTTATTTTCAAATTTAGATACTGATTTATTTTATGTAATTTTTTTTATTCTCGTATAATAAAAATATTTATCAAAATAAGTAAAATTAGTTCAACTTAGATAATATTTTTTATAATTTAAATATTAATATTTTTTTCAACACAATTCACACTTATGTAAAGTATTTAATTACTTAAAAAAAATATATGTCGTAATTACCTTAAAATTTAAATATAAATAATTTTTTTTCATGCAATTTTTCATCTCTATATAATATAAATATTCATCTTTTAATATTTTAATATATTGTTATGCAAAATTTTGTCCACTATATATATATATGTATTTTTATATTAAAATAATATTATATATGTTTTACATTGTCCGTAAGTATGTATTTCTGTATATAATTTTAGAATAGTACACATTATTTACTTACATAATTTAGATATTAATTAAATATTTACCTATATTAATATATTGTTGCAAAAATATTTCATTCAATTGATAAAAAAAAGTTGTGCATTTATTTTAAATATTATTTTTTCAAAAACAATAATTAAATCTGTATAATATAACAACAAATATGATGAAAATTTAGAATTTTACATTAAAAATATAGAGTTAATAATGTCATAAAAAAGTATTATTTTTTATTGAAATGATTCATAAAAATATTTATTGGTCTAAAAGGAAAACATGAATGAAGTATTTAATGCTCTTAATGAAAAGAGAGAAAACATTTAAAGGAACGTGGGCTTACAAAAAAATTTATTACTCTAATGAAAGGTGGACGGTAGTAATTAGCATTTAAATGTATAGTACAATAATTACATTATATATATACATATATATATATATATATATATATATATATTGTTAACTTTGAAGATTAAGTTTAAGTATTTATAAATAAAAAAATTTATAAAAAAATATATAATTATTAAATTGAAGTTATAAAAGTATAATAAATTATTTTTTTAATAAAATTTTATTATTATTAGCTGTTTATCCTCAGTTCTTAGAGTTGAAGTTAACAAAATTTTATATATATATATATATAATTTTATTTATAAAGGTATATAATACATATTTTGTAAAATGTGTAATAATATATATTAAATATATTTTATTAAATACTTTAAATAATTATTACAAAAATATGCATTGAATGAATTTTATAATTTTGAGATGAAAGCATTTTTATTTTAAATTTTTTAATATATATTGTTGGCTCTTGGACGCAGATTAAAAATATTTATAACATTAGTGAAAAAAGTTAACACCAAATTAATATTTATTTTTATGTTTAAGAGATTAACCAATTCTATTACGAAAAGCTTAGAAAAAAAAGCAACTGACACAACATAAATAGGTATGGGTAAAGGAAAAGATTGAAACGGAAAAGGGTTAGCGGTTGAAATTAAACAATGTAGATGCATGATAATGTAATGAGTGCTGATAATAATAACACTTAAAACGATGAGTTAAATTATCGGTTACCTCACTTAGTGGTAATATAAAAGCAAATGTATTGGACCGCATATTATATTGCACACGCATTCGTATTAATGCCTTCGCGTATATAATTTTAAATATTTTAAAACATTAATTTAATAATTAATTCGACAAATTTAATGTTTTTAAAAATTATTAAGTAAAATCAAAAAAATTTCTAGAATAATTTGACCATTTCTCTTTTTCTCTCTCCCATACAAAATATATATTACTCTATATAGTATAAAAATATTGTTTATTTTAAAATGAAGTAAAATATTTATTATAATTTATATATAAATATTAATACATTATTATAAAAAATCTACGTGATTAAAAAATAATCTGATTGTTTTAAATATTAATTAAATTTTCAAAAGAAAATAATTAAATGAAAATATATAATATATTTAATAAAATAATACATGGTATGAATTTTGTTTGGAATGATTGTTTTAAAAAATTATTGGTTAAAAAAAGTAGATAAAAAGTCCAACCCTCATAATAAAAAGGTAGATAATAGTATTTATTTTTTAAATAATTGATACAATAATAAGCTTAAAAATTGATAAATAAAAAGTCCATATATGCAGTGAATAAAGGAATAAAAAGTCTCCGTATGTAATGAATAAAACGTTAAACTCATCACTTTCATGGACACGTCAACTATTATTGTACAAAATTAAGGTTTCAAATTTATTAATGAGAGCAAGAAATGAAATGTATACATGTTTAATCTAATGTGTATAAATGTAAATATTTTTTATGTTTGACATAATAAACTTAATAAAAAAAGAATAAGTGTGAATGAGATGAGGGGTAAGAGAAAATAAAAATGATAACACCTATTTGTTGAAGTTAAGAGAAAAAGAAAGAAATAAATTATGAAATATTAATAAGAAATAAAAGAGAGAAAAAAATATAAATAAAAAAATTGAAAGTTTGTTAAAATATATTATATCTTTAGTTAGAATTCATAAAATAAAGAAAATGAAGAATGATTTTTTAACAAAGTTAATATTTATAAGAAAAAAATGACTTATTTAAAGCATTTTAAAAAATTAATGAATTGATATGAAAATAATAATAAATTCATAAATTAAGGAATTATATACTAATTTAGCTATTTAAAATATTGTTAATATTGAAGAGGAGTAATTAAAATAGTATTTATTTTTAAAATCTACACTTGTATTAAATATATTTTTATAAAATTTTATTTTTTACAAGTGTTTAAATTTAATTTTAAAAATTAAAAGTAAAGTACCATAATATATTTAACAAATAACATATCTAACCTGTTGAAAAGTGAAATATATACCGTATAAGTTGATTGTCAATTCAGGTCCTATCATTAGAGTCAAAATAACCACAAAAGTTTGAATACAGATTTGGTGTAGTTTACACGGAAATTGAACGTCCAGTTCTTTATTCGCTTAAGTTATTTTGACAAGATTTAAGCGATTTCTACAATTTTTACTTAAGTCCATATGCACTAGTTTAAGCGAGTAATACATGCATGAAGCAAGACAATAAACTAAAGCGAGTATTTAATGCGCTTAAGCTAAAATGTACGTACTTAAGCCAAAAATAACAGAGAG